AATATTCGTTCATATTTTACGAAAAAGTATTTAACACCAAATTTGATCTAATTTCATTAGTCTAAATAATAGTGTATGTATATTACGATAATTAACTGCCTAAGTAAGTAGTATATAATATTACGATAATACAAGGGTTGATGAAGACCATGTTTGCTACATCGTCAATATATAGGATAAGCATCAGGTAGCTATATTTAACTATAAATGTGTGGTAGAAGTGCTGATTTTCGCATTTATTGAAAAACCTTGAAATAATGAAATAAAATCGTGCAATTTAATTATTAACGATGTCATGCCATAGTTTCTTTGCGAGAAACGGTAGGTGCAATAAAGACAGTGATACGTTGGCGAGATAAACGTTATCATTAGAATTTAGAATCGATGGAGAGAATGAGACCCAGGAGAATTAAATGACGGACAAATCGAACTGTTGCAAATCCGAAATTGATCTAATCACGTTATCTTGTCGTCACTATTTTGCAATATAATTTTTTCATACAAAAAATCGAAAGCTTCTAAATATTTTATTACATTATAAGTATTATATTATAACTGTTTAATAATATTCAAAATTATTTTTCATCAGAAGATCGAGTGGAAGATAAATTAGATATTTTGTCATAAAAAATATAGGCGTCAACTTGAAACAGCATTCATCACAATCTAAATATCTAATGCACTAGACTTCTGACATTTCTTTTATCTATAGATTTTTCGATAAGGAGAGAATATGTTTTCTTAATATTTCATTGAATCATCATCATTATTTTTCATTGTACAATCTTTTAACATTGAACTTAATTAACAAATACATATTTCTGTTTATTTTAATTTCTAATTCCCCTTTATAATATTTAAATGCAGTGTATGTTATAAATTATACTGTGAAATTTTTAATAATTTTAAAGTTTAACGATTTTTTTATACATCTTTTAAAATAAAGATTCAGTCTCAAATTTATCTAATCAAAAAGAATCAAATTAATCAAAGAATTTATAAAAAAAAGGAAATGTAAGAGAAATGCCATACAAATTATATGTATTATGTTTTCATGCTGCGTGTATTAACGCGAGATATTAATAAGATAATAAATTTACATTTATGTGTATGCTTTTAAATCAAATTACATGATTTACACAAACAGACCGCAGCCGTCGTGTATAACGTGATTGCTATCAAGTAAACATCCGATGTCAAATTACTCGCAATATGCTATCAAGTAAACATCCATCGCCAAATTACTCGCAGTATGTTTCGGAAAAAACGCCATATCGTACGCGCCGGTTTCGCAAAATGCTATCTCGTTGGATTAACACCAACGTGAGAAATAGCGGTCGATTCCATTCAGCCTTGAATGCATTTATACTTGAAGAATCAAGTGAAGAATAAAGCGCCATTATATTGAAAGATAAACAGCTTATAGGGTGAAATCCACTTCCGCTCGCGAATAACTGCGAATTCTCGTTACGTGTTCCCAACGATGCAACGCGCCAGCACGTTGTCGCGATATATCACTGAACTCGCGCCTCTATCAATTTCCGTTGCGAGACAACGTTATCTATATTCCGACATTCCGTTTCGTCGAGGATCAGTGCGACTAGATAGCGAGACGATTTGCGGAATGGCCGAAAAAATAAAAATCGCGATGAGAGATCCCCATTATAAACTCTCTCGTAGATCATCTAAATCTAATCATGAAATTTTATATATATATATATATATATA